AAAGTGAGTTGATTTGTTATATTGAAATGTCTCCTGGGTGAGGAAAAATACATGCACACAGTTTTTTTTAACATTAATAACTTCTGTTGGATCAGCAGATTTAAAAAAATGGGAGTAATCTGAGCAAACTTCCAGGCATCAGGGAAAATAGACTGCACAATACATAAATTAAGCAAATGATGAAACAATGGTAAAAAAGTGTTGGCATGCATTTTCAAGAAATCCATATTTATCTTATATTTGTCAAATGCATGTGAGCCATTTAGAGATTGGAGTTTTTATGTGGGAGGGGGTGTTCGCGATGCACGACTGCTCTTCTGAGATGATTACGATTTAGATTTTTATTTCTGTGACTGTAACGACCCACAGGAGACACGGCATTAACAGCAGTAGTTATTTCATTCCATTCTTTGGCTTTAGCAGCTCCTTTAATTCCACAGCTGACGCTGCTAAAAAGGACAGATTTTCTTTTCTCAATCTCGGAGAGCAGGACTTCAATCTTTGAACTCGTAAAGTTCTTCTTTTTACTTTTCGCTGTCATTTTCATGAAAGGACACTTCCTGATATCTGAGGCAGGAAACATAGCCTTATATGGTGTTTTTGGGGTGGTAATTATGCTAATCTCCTCTCCACGTGCACGAGCAGCTGGATATGAACAGGTGGCATTCATCATGTTTACGCAGCTCATTTACACACTTTTCCTGAACATAGAAGAGTTTGATGAATCTGACGTGGCATGTTCGTACGAACCCTTCGTACGAACAAAAGTAAGAGAAATGCAGGATAAGAATACGAACATGTTCTTGCATGAGGCCCAAAGTACCCAGTTAGGACTCCAACCAGTGTGCTTAGGGTTTTCCTTGTCAGGGCAATGAGAGTTTCCCCAAACCTAAGATTTGGGCCGTTTATCAGTTCCCATGCATGTTTACAGTCCGTCAGCTCCCTCCAGAGGATTGAGTGTTGACGTCTGATCCAGGCCTGTAGGTCGGTCCTACAGACTGTTGTTGAGATGCCTACAACAGGCTCTGGTCCTTTAAAGTGAGCCTGAAACTGAGGAGACCTGTGCTTAATTCCATTATATGTACATGCTTTTATTAGTTTTGCTTTGAAATGCAATTCATATGATTCTCTTTTCTTTTTGTAGTTGAATGTGTAACTATGTAACTTAATTCTACTTACTACTGCCTATCTTGGCCAGGACTCAGTTGAAAAAGAGATTTTTAACCCAATGATTTTTTCCCCTGGTAAGATAAAAGTTTAATAATAATAATAATAATAATAATAATAATAATAATAATAATAATAATAATAATAATAATAATAATAATAATAGTGCTGTACCAAACTATCATTTTCTAATCGATTAATCTAACTATTATTTTTTCGATTAATCGATTATTCTAACAACAAATCTATAAGTTATTCTGATGTGAGTGCACTGGAAATTTAAAATGTTTTCATCAAATTAACAAGAACAGTTCTTTAATATTGTAATATTTTTTGTAATTGTAATATTATTGTAATTGTAATATTTTCATGAAAAACTCACCACTCTTATGTCAATACGGTCGCAATGATGCTTTTTGGTACCGTAATGGAATTGCATGAATATTCACGTGGTGGTTATGTAATACAGCGAATCGATAATAACAAAATCTGTGTAGACAAATTTACATAATCGACGTCATCGATTATTTCAACTAATCGGTGCAGCCCTACTTGTGATGTCCATGGCCTACCCCAGTTACCACTACTTTACATGTGTGTCAAGGACAGAAAGGCAGATGTGGCAGTGGAAGGTGTCAAAGCAGTTTGGAGAGAAAAACAAAGTAAAGAACAAAAAAAAGAAAACGATTAATCGATTATTAAATTAGTCATCGATTATTTAAATAATTGATCAGTTGTCGATTAGTCGATTAATTGGTGCAGCCCTAAATAATAATAATAATCACGCAAGTTTTAGATGCGTCCCTCATATGACACACCTGATTTAAATAAATGCATGATTAACAGGCTTCCGCAGAACCTGAAGACCTGCTGAAGAGCAGGAGAATTCGAGGAACAGTATTGGCTGCCAATGATGGAGACACTGATGTTTCAAATAATTAACAAACTTCTTAAAAGTGATTAATTTGCTGCACATTTTGGTGTAACAGTGATAGTAGAATACTTGATGTGACTTAGAGATTGTTTTATTTAACAAAGATAATTAAGTCTACAAATCCAACTTTAATTTTTAAGCTGTGCTGTCAAATGTTGTAAATATTGGAATAGTCTACCACCATTAAAAATGTTATTTCACTTTCTACCATTAAAGTCAATCTTAGTTTTAAGATCGAATGTGTTTTATATTAATTTGTGTGCATTTTCTATTTGCTTTATTGTAATTGTATTTACATAAAACTATTGAATGTACATTGGTAGGTTTTTGTGAATTTTGTTTAATATTTTTGTTTTTTAAGTGTTTTTCAATCAATCTGTTGGGAAAATAAATGAAAAACTGCAATCACAGCTAAATGTGGCGTATTTTCAAGGTGATCCCATGTTCATTAATGTGCATTGTTTCTTTCAAATAAACAGTAAGCAAGTGGAAAACAACAGTCTTCGCGGCAGTACATGTACCACCAAATTTACCATAAAACCAGACTCCAAGAAAAAAAACAAACTCATCTCAGACCATAGAGTTGCCTGAAGAAAGATTTTAGGAAAGCAGTGATTTGTTAACAAGACTGCATGAAAAATAAATAATGATAGAACAAAGAATCTGCTTTTGTTCACCACCTCTTGCCTTTGCTGCTCCGGATGAAAATCCTCCTCCAAATCATCTCCACACAGAGAGTGGACGGCTGTGAAGAGGTCACAGCAATTATCCACAGTCACCCCCTCGCTGACGGCAGAGCACAGCTTCTTCAACACCGCTGGCTCTCTAGTAAACTCCTCCCTCTGTAGGTCAGCCACGAGAGAAACTAAACATCAGCGCATACCGTGAGCTGAATATCCATTAAAACCATTGAAGCGGCGTGGCTTCGCTTCACTTTACCCTGCGAAGGTTGTGGAAGGCCTGGGTGTGGAGAACTCTGGGGAGCTGCTGGACGATGAGGCGCAGGCTCTCTTCTTGCAGCTCCGTGGCCAGGCTCCTCACCTGCTGGGCCCACTTGACTTCTGGGAGGCTGCCGATCAGCTGCTCGGTGTCACAGAGCACACTCACTGCGTTCTGCACAGTCTGAGTGAAAACATCTATCAGCTAAAGAAAAACTGACTACGTAAAAAAATATAAAATAAAATAAAATAAAACAACAGGAGAGTTTGCATTTGCTGACAACATGCAGTGTGAATGCTTAACGCTGAAATATTTTTGCTAAATAGCTAAAAAAGCTGAAACTAACCTAAAAATATGTAAAGAAGTAGCTGAAACAGCTAAAATTAACACAAAGAAACAGAAAGAGCACATGCTTGCTGAATTAAGCAGTAAAAATAAGAAATTATCACAAAAACGTGAATTTAGATGAAATAAGCTCAAATTAGCTAAAAAGTAGCTAAACACAAACTAGCTGAAATTAGCAGAAAGCAGCTGAAATATAATAAAAGCATATAAAATTTAAGATTAGCAGAAGAATATCAGATAAGAATGAGAGCTAAAAAAAAAGGGGAAAAAAAGCTAAAATTGGCAAAAATAGATGCCGAAGGAGACTGAAATAAGTCAAAAGAGTTAAAAAAGCAGAACTTCCTTAAAAGGTTAAAAGTGCAGTAAAAAAATTAAGAGCATTTTAAAGGGCTTTAAAGGTGTTGAAAACCTCTCAGTTTCACTGAGGAAAACATAGCAGAAAAAGTAAAATTTCTCAAAAAATATAAGTTGTTAAAAAGATCAAAAGTCATAGCTGGAATGTCCTGAAGGAACTCAACATTTAAACATACAAACTGTTGAAATAGCACAAACACTACAGAATGAGATACGAGCTGAAAAACGTGCAGAAGAAAAAAAATTGACACACAAGAGAAGACCAAATAAGCCTCATCCTACAAAACAAATCAGCTGCTGCCAAACATCTAATGATCAGTGGAGGGAATCCTAGAAGCTGGCCAGCTCTCAGGCTTGGTATTTTCCCAACAAAAGATTTGATTAGAGTCATCACCTTCACAGAACAGAAGGAAGCTCAAGACTCTACTCAGAATGAAAAGACCCCAGCTGCTCCCTGGCTGCTTAAATAGCTGCTCACTGCTCCACTTGGGTGTTTCTCACGTGAGGGGTCAAACAGAGCAGAGCACAGATATCATCATTTGGAAACACACTGAAGAAATTTATTGGTTTGTTTACTACTGACTTTTAAAAAGCACTACACACGTTATAGTGTTTTCTTAGATGAAACATGATAAAGTTTTATAAACCAATGTGTGATTATTTTTGTGATTAAACTGGTGATTTTATGTACAGATTGGTCTGAGTGGCTGTCGCAGATGGCTACTCAGAGTAGAGGGTACATGTTAGATTGATACATGCCTGATTCACTTCCAACACTTAACTGATCCTTTGTTTTTACATTAGGGCAGAAAATCTGTACAAGGTCCTGGCTCCAGCGGTAAGGTGGCCCTTTTAGATGATGCAATGACAATAGGCGGAGTCAGGTCCTGAAGATGTTATAATGAAGTGACTTCCTGGTTTGGCCTGCTGAAGGTAGAGACAAGCTCCAGACCTAATAAACCTGCTTTTCAGTCCAGCGCTGGTGGTTGTATAACTCTTTCCACATTCAAACATTCAACTATTGGAGCATTGTCTATCTGGTTACAAACACGTATTAAGGTCAACGAACACGCCTGAATTATCTATATTTCAATACATTGATGACAAAAAAACTACATTTACATTTTTATTTAAGTTAGAGGTTTAAAGATCATCTTTTTGTGAAAAATGATGCGTTGCAATACTTTGAGATCTTATGAGACGGTAACATTCAGAAGATTTATTGTGAATTTCTCTCAGCTAAGACCAAACCAAATGCTGACTCAGTATCTGTTTGTCTGCTTTGAAGCCATTTCTGTGTTGGCTAATGTCAATTAGCTACTCAACAAAAGTGAAAGAAGTGACATTATAGAGGAACTTTTTAAGAAAAGGAATTCTGGTCTTTGTTTATCAAAACAATATTATGTAAACTCTGACTCTTCTTCATCTCTCCCTGATAGTGACTCAAAATAATCTAAAGAAACATCAGATTCTTAACTACGGTCTGTGTTATTAGCTGTTGTAGCAGAGCTTTATTTACAGGCCATCATTTCCCTTTGACATCACTTCCTGTTACTTCACATGCAAATATCTCTACAACTGTTCAGCTCAGCGTGGTGCAAATTCTTTTTGCAATTCCTGACTGATTTTATGTTTAAAAAAATGCATTTATATTTATTACAATATTTTATGGCACAAGCACTTTAAGCTACAGCCAAATCTAATTTTGGCTCAGCACCTGTTAAATTAGCTGAATTATAGACACTTTTGTGCCTGTTAACGTCACTTTGCTCTGGCAGCCACCCTGAACAAAGCCGACTCCAAAAACTAATCAGTTGTAGATGATTACGGTCTCAGAGTTTCATTAAAATTCACCCAGTAGTTCTTCAAATATTTTACTAACGCTACAGACCATAGCACACAAAGACTAAGACATTATTGCTTTTTCTCCTTTGGCAGCAGGCGATAATTGCAAACCTACATCACTCCTTATTTGTGTGCATCCCCGGTCCCAAATTACACAGTCGATGATTACAGAAAATTAAATAAAGCTCATCTGTTATTAGATCATGTTAATATTTCCTTCCTGGGGAAACAAGCTGGTGTTCTGGTTTGTGAATGCCATCCAAATATGACGGTGCTGGGAGGAATCGACTCACCATTGAGTTGGTCACAGCAGTTAAACAGGCTCTGTGGAGCTCAGGGGACAGGAGGGAGAAGTTTCTCTCATTCCAGGCTTTCACGAAATGCTCTGCAACCCACCTGTACAAACACAGTGTAACCCAACAATGTTTTCTCTGCTTGTCTTCTGAATTAGAGCTGCCACGATTAGTCGACTAGTCGCGATTATGTCAACTATTAAAATCGTCAACGACTAATTTAATAGTTGATGCGTCGTTTTTTTTCTAACTTTGTATTTTATTTTAATCGATGATTAGTCGACTATAAAAATAATGGTTTGTGGCAGCCCTAATTACTACTGTGCATGTGTGTCAAGGACATAAAGGCAGATGTGGCAGTGGAAGGTGCCACAGCAGTTTGGAGAGAAAAATAAAGTTAGGGAAAAAAAGACGCATCAACTATTAAATTATCAACGTTTTTAATAGTCGACAATAATTGTTACTAGTCGACTAATCATGGCAGCCCTATTCTGAATGTTTACACCGTGCATTGACTTTCTGTATCCTAACCAGGACCATTACCCAAAAATAGTGTTTCACGGTATTAGGAACGGGCTTTGGTCCCAAAAGGACTATTGGTCCTGACAGGGTAACAAAAACAAGGACACACATATACAAGTGTAGCCCTGTGCATCCCTCTGAACCTAAATACACATAATTTACTCATTTACTACAGATGGAAACTCATCATGTCTTGCTTTCTTCTCAGCCACAATAGAAGCTAAAGTTAGAACAAATAAATATATCCAGTGTTTGAGTTTACACAAGTTAAAAAAAATGAGAAAAGAAAAGAAAAGAAAAAGCACACGATGGGTCTGAAAACATTAATTTTTCTAGGATCAGTAATGAAAAGACCAGTTTTCAAAGTCTTTCCATATAAAACATCACACATCATCAAGTCTGGATAAAGCAGGCCCATCATCTGTCACATGGCAGCTACTGAGGATAATAAAAAATAAATAACTCAGGTTGAGCTGACAGCAGACTCACCTTTTACACAGTGAGTGGAGGTTCTGGAGGCCTAAGACGTGTGTGAGCGACAGGCATTCAATAACTGTTCTCTGAACTCCATCAGCTGACTGCAAACACATAAGGGGAAAATAAACAGATACCAAAGACATGGTGAAGGGACACCAGGACAGGCTGTCATAAGATGATACAAAAAGGAGACAATATAGAGAAAAGCCCAATTTTTTTCTCTAAAACATAATAAATCTAAATGATTCTTTAAGTTTAGTTATACTGATTCTAACATTGAACATATGGGGGGAAAAAAGTCTGATGCAAAGTCAACCTTGGGGAAGAAGCGGCAATAGTCTCGTGTTAGAACCATCTCCACAACATCTTTCAGTCCTTCCAAACCCAACATATCTGCAGCCAACACCACCTGGCTGCAGGAAAGGACACGTTACAACCAGTTCAGCTCCTTCTCTCTTCTTGTCTTGAGGAACCTCAGCTCGTGTACTGTACCTGGCGTTGGCTCCGCTGGGCAAATCCACGATGGCTCCGTACATAAACTGGAGCAAGGTTTCCATTTCATCTGGACCTAAGCTGAAAAAGTAAATAAAACAAAACGTTTACAAGATGTGAACCTTGTATTAACAGCAAGGGAAATAAAATGACATTTCCTGTATAAATGTATCGTGTGAGGCAGAGTGCTGAATGACGGCTGGGCTTTCATTTTAAGAAGTTGAAACTGAGTTGTTAAAGCTGAAACAATTAGAACACAAAGCTAAAATCAGCAGAGCAGTAAAAAGCTAAAACTAGCCACACAGTAGCTAAAAGCTAAAATGTTATATTAGCAAAACAGTAACTGAAAGCTAAAATGAGCTAAACAGGAGCAACAATCTAGACTTAGAAGAACAGCTGCTAAAAAGGTAAAACCAGCAAAACAGCAATTGCCAGCAAAAATCAGCAAAACTGTAGCTAAAAGCTAAAATCATCAATACATAGCTAAAATGTAAACTTATTGAAGAAATCTCCATGTATTTCAGTGGAGTTAAATTTTGGTAAATAAAGCTGAATATTTTCAAAACCGTAAAAGTTACATAAATCAAACGTCGTAGCACAATATTCCAGATGAAGCTAAATGTTTTGACATATGAATGGTTAAAAGAGCACAAAGTGTGCAGAAGAACAGGAAAACAATAACGTAGAGGCTGATTCTCACAATAAAACTTTGTATTTCCACTCATTTATTTTCTTACTCCAAACATTAACTGTATTGCTCTGGTCTAGTTTTTTTTCCTTAGGCCTTCAAACCTATCTGAGTGTCCTGTAAACAAAGCTCAGACATTATCCAGCTCTTAGTGACTGCAGCCTAAGGTCAATGAAAGGATTTCCCTGCATATCAACAAAGCTACTCTCTGTTCTTATAGCCGTGTCGTCCTCTGTTACCCTCAGATCAGAGATGCTGCAGAGAGTGACACTTTTCTCCCTGGAGGAAAAATAAATAACTGCCTTTGCTGCGCTGAAAGAAAGAAACTGTGGGTGGTGGTGATGGGATGAAAGGCAATGGGTGCTCTTCAGCAGGCACCAATTAAAAGACTGTTCAAGTGGGAAACACTAGAAACTCTTAGAGATTCCACCAGCAGAAGGTGGCTGTGTTTAAATATGTTGGGGATATAAAACAAAACAGAATACTACGAGTGAAACATGACTGAAGCAGGTCTGTGGAAAGATATCAAATATTAATACAGTATATGTTGTACATCAGCTTTATTGTTCTGAATTGATTAGTGGATCTGTTAGACCAGCAGGAGGAGGAAGAGGAGGAGTGTTCCTGATCGTGCCTGTCTTACCCTTGCAGAGTGATGCACTGTCTGGAGCTCTCCATCCAACTTCCACTGAGCATGGCACGGAAGTACTGAGACCGCGCACACAGGATTGCCCTAGAAACCCAAAAAAGTAGAGTTTCATGAAAAAAAAAATACACTCACTGTTAAATATTTCATGGCATCTGCTTAAATTGTCTGCACTAAAGGGGTCTAGAAGTAGCAAGCATGAGAACAAAAAGGTCCATGTACTTTTTTTCCAATTTTCTTTAACCTCTCAAACCTGATGACATGATCACCTAAAGCATCACCAGCACACGTGTGTTTAGAATGTTACATATATACATATTTTATTATTGTTTGCAACAGAGGGCAAAACAGTGGTGTTTTCCTTTCCATGTTTCCTGTGTTCCTTTCATGACATGATAGCAAAAAATGCAATAAACCACTGGACAGAAAAAAAAAACCTGTCAGAAATAATCATTACATGTGCATCTACGACCCAATCCAAGATGGCCGCCACAGCTAACCAACAATTGAAAACACAAAAATAACTACAACTCAGCCAGTTTTACAGATGAGCTCAAATTAGCTGTGGTAGTAGCTGAGACTCATTCACAACACATACTGTGAGCACCACATTGTGCAATATCTAAGCTTATACTTGGGTATTAACTGTAACTATTTAACAATATATTACCATATATTATGACACATTTTTTTCTTCAAACAGATTCTAATTTTAAAAACTCAGCTCCAACCAATGTTTGAGCTTTAATTTAACATTACACTTCTCAGGAGTGGAGGAGCTAAAGGCTGGCTGACTGCTGCCAACTAGGGATCAGAGGCTAAAATACAACACAATGAAAAGTCATAAATGGGGGGTGGGGGATGGGGTGGGGCGGGACGCAAAATGATATATTTGTTATGTCATTCCCTTATCAAAAACATACCCAGAGTGTTGCTTTGGCTCACATATGTTTGAGAAATCCTTGAATCTCCTGTGGTGGCCATGAGGAGCTGCCGAAACACTTGATGGTACAAAGCTCCGCCTATTTGTACAAAGTTCCTCCCCACAGCTCAGGCTGCAGCTGAGCTCCCGACCCACAGAGCACCCCTCCCCCAAAGCATTGTTGAAAAGACAGGCTGAAGTGGGAGTGTCTGAAATGGTAGGAGGTTCTTGAGACAGAGGCCAATTTCAAGGTGTTCAGATGATGCAAAGTCATATTTATTTTTGATATATACAGCATTTTCATAGCAGCTGATGGTAACAGTTACTTCATTGCGGTAAAGAATTGAACTATGTGCCTGGAAAATACATAACACCCTCCCACACGTACACACACCCTTTAAAAAAATTATACTTTTTAGAATCAATACAGTATCAGGAAATGAAATATTGAAATATAACAGTGTATTGATATTTTCTTACAACACTAGTATTAACTGTTGGCATTAAGATGAAATATTAGGGCCACACAACAATTTTTTATTATTATTACGAGATTAAAGTCGTAATTTTATGAAAATAGTCATTATATATTACGAGATTAAAGTCGTAAATTTACGAGATTAAAGTCATAATTTTACGAGAATAAATTCATAATATTACGAGAATAAAGTCGTAAAATTATGAGAATAAAGTCGTAAAATTACGAGAATAAAGTCGAAATATTACGAGAAAAGTCATAATCATGACGTGTCTATTTCCCGTTCCTCATTTCCTCATTTTCCTCACACCTGCTGTGTACAGCCATGTGTCTGTGATTATAAAGTGGTCTGTGATGACTCGTCACTGTTAGATTAATATGCCTTCATCCAACGTGATGACTAAATCTGTCAATGCATCCATTAATTACGATACAGCTTCAGTTTATAGTCATTTGCACAATTTTCAAGTCCTGCTACTGATAATTTGATGCTAATGTGCTAAAAGATTAACTATTTATTTTAAGCAATACTAAAGAACAACTTGACAAGTTGCTCAACATTCCTCATTTTAAGGCAGTGATAATTACATACTTTTTCGTGTACAGGCTACAATATTGTGACGTTTTTCTTGTAATATTACAACTTTAAACTCGTAATATTACGACTTTAATCTCGTAATATTATGACTTTAATTTCATAATATTATGACTTTATTTTATACGACTATAATGTTGTAATATTATGACTTCGTTCTCTTAATTAAAAGAAATAAAAAAATCTTGTGTGGCCGTAATACTCCATCGTATGAAATCACCAGTGCTTGTTAGCAAAATATCTGAAAGTTAATTTTACAAATAATGAATTCTAATGAGGTGTGGCAGTTAATGAGAGTCATCCTCATCACATACACCGAGTGCCAACAAACCTCGCAAGATGTCACATGAAGTTGCCCAAACTGTTGTTTTGTCATGGTAAAACTTTAATTCATTTATTTATTTTTGCCTTTTTAGAGAAATAAAAACAGTGTGCGCATTTTTATCTGCTCTTCTATGTCGAGGTTTACTTACATATATGTGCCACTACTGTCAACTATTCATCTCCATTTTAGTTCTAACATCACAGGCCAGGCAACAAACACAAGAACATATGCAGAATTCATTCAATGCTAAAGATTAAACAACATCAAATTTGATAGTTTTAAATAAAATATTTATAACATTTTACAAGAATAATGTAAATAATACAGAGGAGCTTGAACCTCAAATTTACCACTTGTTTTATCACCATTTTTATATATAAACCTATTAACACAAAGAGAGATTTCAGTGAGGGGCAAATGGAGACCTTGCTCAGCTCCTGATTTAAAGCACTGTAGCTCCCACTCTGCTGCCATGGAGATCACAGCTGCATTTCAACCAGCTTCTTCTGTCTGAGTAGCTCTGCTGCCCTGTGCAGAAGCTGAGACAAACCTGTACCATGGTTACCAGCTGTTATCTAAACCACCCAATGACCACCCACCTCTGGTCCACATCCATACAAGTCAGCGACATGCTGTATGTTCAGCTTTCATCAAGTTATAAACCCAAAATATCACATCCTTAGTCTCATCTACTTCCTTTTATTTGGTAAGATCCAATCATTTTTAAATTTCATAACTCTCATAAAAATAAAACCTCAAGATTTTACCTTTATAGTAGAGGTGTAATGGTATTTTGAGAACCACTTGAAAAGCAGGGGAGAATATATTCTAAGGTCTTGTCTACATGGAAACACAGTTTTTCTGAAACAATCTTTTTATTTGACCTTTTGACAAATATACTTCTAAACACCGACCTGTTAATAGAAATGTTTTCATTCACACAAAACTGACCTAAAATGCTGCAGTAACTATGCCGGACCTGTAGGTGGCACTAGGGATGTCCCGATCCAGATTTTTTGGATCCTGATACAATCCTATAATCATTAGTCTTTCAGATACCGTTCCGATAGGTTTATTTCTTTATTTCTTTCTAAGTGACATGGTTGGTAGTATTAAAGCGAGCCCTGCTGTTCCCACCACGAGAAACACCCAGTTTGAAGATTTTGCAAGATGCAGTTTCATCATCATTGTTTTCCATTGAAAAGTGTTCTCACACTGTGGACATAGGTGCATACTTGTGTGCGTCTTGACTTCTTAACAGCAGTTGTAAAGCATGATGATGATGAAAACTGTCACAAAAACTGGATCGGCCCGATCACGACTAAATCTGATTCTACCCGATTTTCAAAAAATGGCCATATCTGCCACCGATACTGAGTATCTGATCAGGACATTCCTAGGTGACACTGTAGAACTGTGGACGCAAGGCTGAATTCAAAGAAATAGAGCTGCACGATATATTGTTTGAGCATTGTCATCACAAAGTACGTGTGCAATGGTCACAGTGCAGGTCCTGTGATGTAGGAGGCAAATTAAATCAACGTGTTATTCAGGGACTAAACCACTAAACTATAAACCATTGCACTAAATGGTCTTTTATTTTGACGGGCTGTTTCCATAGGTTTAAAGTGACTGGCTTCCTGTCAAAATAGCTTAAACTTTCATTTTGTTGTGAAACTTCTAGGACAATAAAAGCAACATTTTTCAGAGAAGTGTTGTCAGTGAATTCTTAAATTGTGGAGGAAGATGAGGATCGTGATGAAAACAAGGAAGATGAACAAGTTCACAGAGAACTGAAGGAAAAGAGGTAAAACACAGAGACAGAAACTAAGAGAGAAACAGGCAACACATTTGGTGGTAAAAAGCGATTTAAGTGTTATTCAAGTCATCTGATGAAGTCTTGATTTTTTCATATCACAATATTTATCGCAGGGTTAGAAAATTATATATAATGTTTTTTTATTCTAATACCATGAAACCCTACTCACAAAAAACATTTCCGTGTGGACATGCCCCTGACTTAAGGTTAATGAGGAAAAAAAAAAACTTATGAAGCTCCCTCTCCACAAATTCTGCTGTTTTTCCTCTAAACAGAAGAAAGCCAGGACAACACAAGCAGCTCTACCTGTGGCAGGAGAAGACCTGCTCTGCCACTTGGATGGTGATGTCGCACTGTTCTCCTCTTTGGTACAGATCCAGCAAATCAGCACCAAGGCCAGAGGCCGTCTCAGAACCAGCAACACCTGGACAGATAGATGAGATGATCTATGAACAGAACAGTGGTAAAGGTTTTATTCTTCAACAACAACAACATAGGAAACACATCTGCTGGCACTAGCAGGAACAACAAGCATTTAAATGTGATTAGCTGCTAAGGAGATTATGACTAAGATAACATAATGTGAGGAAAGTGGATAAAGGAGAGCAGCTTCTTGGTCGCATAACCCTGAATAAAGCTTCCAGCTGATCTGTTTACCTGAGTCAGTGAACCTGTGGAGATCTGTGAGGTTTGGAGCGGTGGGGTCTGACAGGGTGGTCTGTGAATTTGAGTGTCTGTCAGCTGTCCGCATCCTCTCCTCTGATGTGTACACTCGCCTGCAGAGGGAGACTTTAAAGTTAATCAAAATATGGCTTTTCATGCCATTTTCAGTCTCTTTTGATGCAACTTGTGCTAGAGTTTTTTTTTATGTTTCTGGCCAATGAAAGCCTTCCTGTACTTCTGGTTTAGATGACATCAATGGGAGTTCCAGCCATTTAAAAACCAAACATTATACAAGGGTTTTCCTGATAAAAACTGTGAATGTCAAACTAAAATGAAAGGATTAAAATGAACTCATTTTAATTTTGTAATTTATTCACAAATCTTAATTATGGCAAAAATCTATATTTTCATGATTTTTGCTTTGCAGCCTGTGAACATTCTGACTCATTTTGCCAGCATACAGATATGGACTTAAAATGTGGTGTGTTTGTAGCTGTGCATCATCACTAAAACATACTCCCAGGACTAACGGATGCAGCAAAAATGTGTTTTCAATACTTTGCCATTAACGGCTGGCAAAAGGTGGGTTTTAAGGAGTGTGATGAAATAACTTGGTGGGCCAATTTTGGCCCTCAGCCCTCACTTTGGGCACCTCTAACATGAATCAAGATGGCGGCCATAAGTCATTTATCTTAGCAAACATAATATAGTACTATTTATTTATATATTTTTTATTTTTAAGATTTGGAGTGGTAGAAGCTGGGAGCCATCCTCAACATAATCTGAGCGCTAACATTAGACAACGTCTCACATTCGTAGATGAGACGGGTCAAAAAGTCTTTTACAGCAGTGGTTTCTGATAGAACAAAGTTGAGGTGGTGTTTATTTTCGTCATTCAAAATACTTGGCAGTGAGAGCTTGGGTCAACTTCCTTATCTTGAGAGTTTAATCATTGTTTAATTTTGGCCTTGTATAATGTCACATGTTTCCATCTGAGCAGATTTGCTGAGTTGCAGTAATCGGGAGGAGGATGAACTCTGAACTGATTCACCCGCATCCGCATCCATCTGTGGACAGTAGAAGCTGTCCCTGACAGCTTCTACTGTCTGTATCAAATAATGTTGTCATGAGATCTGCATTTCCCCTTTTCCCTTAGGCGGTCTCATGGCCAATGTAATCAG